AGTTGATATGTTGCAGGACGCGAATACAATTTCTAAATACGGACCTTTAACTATTCTAATCTTCGGACAACTAATATTAATATCTGTTATATTTGAAATCGTACAAACCGAGGTAAAATTTATTTGAATAAGAAATAAAATATAAACAAATCAACCTAAGTATTAATCAATTGCACAAATTATATCAGTGTGCGAGTGTTAATTTCCCCCTTTTTAAAATGTCAATTAAATGAATCATTACAATGTTTCGTACTTAATATTTACTACTAACTACTTTTAGACATTATTAGTTATCCTTTGGCGCGAATAGCGCATTTTCGTTGCCAAATCAAATCAGATTGATTAGCGAGGGGACATAAGCGTTGACATTTTAATAAGACTAGTGTTGCGCCGATACACCAGCCTATTATATTTATATTTTCTTCCTAACACTACTAATGTGATAATTAATCAGAGCGAGAAATTAAGAGATGAATTGTACTACGTGTCATGGGAGCGCATGGATGTAAGGAATCGTCGTACTCTTTGCATCTTCCTGCAAAGACTGCAGGAACCAATTAGCATCACTAGTATGGGGATGGTATCAGTGGGTGTGCAGACCATGGCTAAGGTAATAAATTATATTTGGAACGCTTTATTCTTTGGTATAATTTAAACATGTAATACTGGCAACATCGCATATAAAGAGGACCAATCGAAATCCTTCATTTCTTTTTCTAGTCCCGCATCCTGCCAGTCTCATTGTCTCTTTATACACGGCAATGTTCAGACGTCCACTCTAATATTTATATACTATTACTTGGGTAATTTTTGTTACTTTAAAGAGAAAAGAATTAAAAAAAGTTTACATTTCAGATCCTGAAGACAACATTTTCATATTTTACATTTTTGATGTCGATGAAGGACAATGAACCCGGTGCTTAGTTGCCATGGCAACACAACTATAAACCAATAGCAATATTGTTAAAAAAATCAAACCACAAATAGAGATGATAATGTATACGACCACATTTATAAATTTATTTTGAAAAGCACATAGTTATATTTTTAGATTCATAAAATAGAATAAACAAAAAAAAATACTAGTTGTAGAGTATGCATAAGTGTAGTGTTTGTCTCGAGCGTACGCCATAAGTACATGCCGAAGAGAAGGGGCGTCAGTCGATGTCAGACCTTTGGACCGGCAACACGTGTCGGTACGTGAACGAACCAAATATAACGCAACGAATGCTACACTAGTCATAATTATATATTTAAATTTATGCTATAAAGAAATTAAATATAATATGAAAACAAAAAATGTAACACAGTTTTTTTTTTTTAAAGATAGAATCTGCATTTTTATTTCCAAAGAGTAAACATTCAATAAATGAGGTTAACCATCCTATTAAATTATAAATGTCTATTACTTATTAATCTACTAATGCACTTATTAATAATTCCAACTGGCCTACATTAATCTGTGGCTTTCAATACTCTGTGCAAGTATCATTTCGATCACATTTATGTTACGAGTGCAATATTAACTAAGTAACAGTATTAAATAAAATACAGTATAACTTGAAAAAATATATTTAGACGCTGTTTAGTTGAACATGTTTTAACCCTTTGAACGCCGGTGATTGATTTTATAGACAACGTATGTTCGTTGCAACGATGTTAACCTTTTTGTTGGAATTATTTAAATTTACATTCTATACAAAAATTAATCTATGACTGTTCTATTGTTTATGGTCTAGGGTAAAAACACCCAACCCCCTGAAATTTTTATCATTCTCACTTCTGACTTTGCCCTCAGCAGTGCTAGGGATCGGACATATAGCTCCATAGTGTATATTAAATAAATATAATTTTTAGTATAATAAAATGCGCTAAAGGTAATTAAAACAGTTCTCGTTCATTGCGTTGCGCTGCGGGAATATTTATTTCGCTTTTAATAACGCCGTTTGTTACGAACCGAGAAATGTTTACTTATAAAAAGCAGTTAATAATATGAAACAATAAATTGTCTTTGATTCTATAAAAGATAATACAATTTTAGAACTATTTTGTCTTTTTTCCGAATAGACCGAAAAAAAGTCTATTTCTTATTAATGTTACTTGAATAGTCAATACCTACAGATTACAGAGCCAATAGCGTAATGGTTAAGGGTATGGATTAACGATCACGAGGTCGGAGGTTCGAATCCCACAATTCGGATATTGTTGTAAACCATATCCTAGCATTGTATAGACATTAGTTGGAATTATTAATAAATTTACAAAAATCTGCTAATTTTTTTTTTAAACCGAATCATAAACGCGAGAACTCACAATAAAATGAAAACCGAAGTGTAATTAAAACAGTTGTTGATTTGAGTGCATTTTCAATGAGGCAAAATTTTTTCAATTTTTTTACATCAAAAACAAGCGGCACGGCGACGCGGCGTGTCATTTGTCGTCACAGCGGTTACAGGGTTATGTCCAATTAGTCGCATCGATGCGTTCGCCATGACAGACCAAATTTTCAACATGCCTCGCGCTAATGAATTCAAAGGGGCTCAAATTGCTGTCGACTGCGTAACAGTCTGCGAGGAATTAAAAAAAAAACTTTATTAGTAGCCAATGTGTTCTTCTAGACCAGTGGTTCTCAAACTTATTCTGTCTACTGCCCGCTTTGAGAATGAATATTTTTTAGCGCCCCCATATTAGAGTTTAAGCAATCTTTTTATTCATATTAGTTGTTGAGAGTCGAAAGCTCATGCAGTCTTTGTCTAAGAGGCCTCCTAGCTAAATAAAATTACAAATCACCCTCCAGGCCTCTACACAACGCCCCCATTTTCTTTCTGGGTCTCTTACCTGCAGCGCCCACAAGGGGGCGTTATCGCCCACTTTGGGAAAGACTGTTCCAGACTATGTTCTATATCTATGCCAAATCTCATCGAGATCAATGCAACCATTTTGGAGATACCTTCTAATAAATATCCATCCATCTCTAATTTAATTTACTAAATAATAAAACTCGAGGCTTGTGCTAGGATTTACTTTTTTTTATCTATTCCACTTTGTTCTGGCCTCGAATCTTTGTCTAAGACTTGAAAGTTGCCCATCTTTCAGACATCTCTCCACTTTGTTTTGGGTCGCATATCAATATGAATTGACATATAAGTACAGGATACTCTAAAACTTGTTGACGAATACCAGAGTATTAAATAACTCTTCTTGTGACTTTACGGATTGGTTAATTTGTTACAACAATGGGTACAACAAGGGGTAGGAGCGTAATTTCACGGTGCGCGCTCGACCCCTATTAGTCGCCACATTTAAACCGACTCCAGAAGACCTCAGCGAAAATCTTAATTGAATTTAATATTTCTTATGTTACAGTGTCATAGTTCAAGTTCTATTTCACGTTTTGTTTAGTTGAATATTTAAAAAAAAACACAAAGGATAAGTGGCTCATGAAATGCAGTTTACGATATCAATGAAAATCCAAAATATTGGTAACATTATTTTTAAATTTGAGTTTTATCCTTTTACAAATTTCTAATTATATTTTTAAAACTATTAATAAGTATTTCAAACTTTTAAAAGTAGACTTAAAATTAGGAGTGTATAATATCTTTTGATAATTACAAGTCAAAGGTAGTTCATTCACCTTTCCTACTAGTTCATAAGGTCGCTTTAATTAATTTGCCCCGCTGAAGCCTTTATAATTGCCCCCGCCCTTAAAATTGCCCCGCCCGTTAATACTGGCGTAACGTGTGCGTTGAGAAAGCTTGCTTTTCTCCTTTGTTCTACATTAAAATTACATAATGAGGAAGCTGTGATATGTTTAGTAATTATTTTATAAATTATTTATTGTGTTAATTTATCTTTTCAAATGGCTAAAAAGACAAAAGATCGAGTTACTTATCACAAATAACAGATGATTGTTATTCGGATTTCCAAATTTCAGTTTTTGTAACTGTGTCATAACATCTATGTAAAAAGTTGTTAGTTCTTTTCTTTTGAAAGTGTATGAGAGGGATAACAATATGTTTTAATACGAGTACATATACAGTGGAATCCCACAATATATGCACATACTAAAATTTATCTTAATTTCGATGTTTCATAATATTTAAAAGTTCGTTCATCAGATGAACGAAATTCTTAGTAGATTTGCTCACATCAAGCAATTACAAAGGCTGTGCTCAGTATTTTTTCAGAGTTAACAATAATGCAACGATTCTCGCATCAGGAAGCACAATTTCACGGTGCACTGCTTACCAATATTTCTCGTCGGAGAATACGTTTGCCAATTTAAAGAATAAATTACTCGTTATAAATCTTACTATCTTATCTAACTAAACTAACTATATAAATGCGAATGTTTTGATGGATGGATTGTTAGAAGGTATCTCCAGAATGGACCAATGGATATCGATTAAAATTGGCATAGAAACATAGTCTAGAACAGTCTTTCCCAAAGTGGGCGATAACGCGATAACGGTAAGAAACTCAGAAAGAAAATGGGGGCGTTGTGTAGAGGCCTAGGGGGTTTAGAATTGTCCGTTAATATACATATATAGGTCACAATAATTAATAGAATTTAATTTGAAGTTATAGTGGTTTTTTAATATGTGAAAATAAGGGGGCGCTAAAAAAAATTATATTCTCAAAGTGGGCAGTAGACAAAATAAGTTTGGGAACCACTGGTCTAGAAGAACACAGGCTACTTATTAAGTGTTTTTTGCGGGTGAAAGCTAGTTTGACTTAAACAGAAATCATGCAGACGTTTAATGATAAATTAATCATACCGTAGAAGTTTTAGTGATACATAATTAAAGGTTAAACATATTATTTTATAACCACGTTGATGTCTATAATATCAATCACCAGCTGTCAAAAGGTTAAAAAATGCCTTACTGTTGTTTTAGAATACAGTAATTATTTAATTTTAAGCTTAGTATAAAATAAACGTATAATTTAAATGTTCGTTTTAAAACACTTCGGAATTTTATTTTATTAAAAATGAATTCCGTCGCACATTTTAAATTAACAGCAACATTATATTGGAAATAATTTTCTTCGCAGTTGAATTTAATTAAGTCACCAACTATACGTGACCTTAATTTCTTTTAATTAAATAGAACATTTCAAATGTGTTTTTGTGCAGAACTTTCGCAAGGAAAATTTTTATTTAAATATTAGCAGTCGCCCGCGACTCTGTCCGCGCGGGATTAAAAATAAATGTTGGCCGATTCTCAGACCTACTCAGTATTCACACAAAATTTCATGAGAATCGATCAAGCCGTTTCGGAAGAGTATGGGAACGAGAATTTTATATATAAGATTCAAATCGAAATAATTCACTTTTAAAATCATTTACTTATTAGATATTGAAATTAATTTGAATATAATATTAAAAATAGTTCAATTTACTTTTAATTAAGTTTTATCTAAAACAAAATTCCCGCACAATTTAATTAGTGGGCGTTATTAAAGCCGAAGGATATTTTCTCGCAGCTGAACGAAATAAAGTACGAACAGTTTATGCGCAGACTTAAATTAACTTAATTAAATAAAGAAAACTTTAAAAACATAACCTTATATAATTAACTATAAACTGTAGAGGATTAATAATAAAATCTTTTATTCAGACACATGGTACATACGAAACTAAAAAATACAAATTTAAATTCAGGCACAACAATAAAATATAAAATAAAACACAACATTCTTCAGGACACATGTAGACGTGTCCACATGGCCAGCACTGGACAGTCCAATCCTACTCTATCAACAATGAGTTGCAGGTAGCTTGGCGCTGTCCCGCACTCGCCGCATCAGGGATGCTCTCTTCCTGATCAATGCTGCGAAGCCGTAGTGTCCTACAATGGGATTTCTATACATACATCCATACATAAATATACATATTACTCATTCGGGGGGCTAGACAA